GCAGGACAGGCAGCAGCGGCAAAAACACGTAGCGGGCTGGATAAATGTCCTCAGCGGGCTGCATGTGGCCCGTGAGCCGTAGTTTGAGGACACCTGAATTAAACAGTTAACTATGTTTTATTCTCGGGTTGAGCTAAATACACAATGAACAACAGGTGTTTCAACAGGATCCTCTTTCTCTATCCCTTTAAGACAGAGGTGGCCTTAGACAGAAATCCAAGCAAAAGGAATGCTGTATGATAGACTGACTTGGTATAGAGTACAGACATCTCCCTAATAAGGAGAAATATTATCTAATCCTTTGCCACTTGAAGATCGCTATGGAGAAGATCACTGTACAGCCACAGCACAGTCAACTGGGAAGAAAGACAGTTACAATAGAAGCCAAGACAGCTTGTGAAACCTTCAGTTCAAATACTGACATAAATATTATATAATAAATATGAAAAAAGATAACCTCTAATCAGAGGTACAACCCGTAAGAAAACCACTTTTTAATGTACTGTCTACTTATAGTAGAAGTCATTTTCACAGCTCCTTAAAGATATGTGATCCCTAAAGACACTTAACTTCAAAGATACTGGCCTGTATTCTTAGTAACTTGGCCAGGAGGATCGTTCCAGCCAGGGAGCTGGAGGTTACAGTGAGCTGTGATCACACCTCTGCACTGAGTCTGGGGAACAGATTGAGACTCTATCTCAAAAACCAAAAAACAAGATGACTTGAAGGCAAGTAACCAGAGTACTTTTGTTTACGTGCAAGCTATGAATCATAGATATAGACATACTTTATATAACCTATTATAAACACGTATGTTTTTATATTGAGGCTAATAAACACAAACAAATATCATGCCCAAATGACTAACCTTTGACAAAAACTTTTATGTTTTTAAGAGATGAGGGTCTCACTGTATTTCCCAGGCTGGTCCTGAACTCCTGACCTTGAGTCATCCTCCTGCCTTAGCCTCTCAAGTAGCAAGGACTGTAAGGGCACTGGCACAAGCCCAGCTTGAAAACGTCTTCAGTGAGAAAGATGCACCAACTCAGGAATTTCTAGCCAACAAATATGCTAAATATCTGACCTCAATTATCTTCTAAAATAACATGGTTACAAACAAATACATAGTTGCCAAATTGTAATTTTCAACACAATCATTTATTACTGAGTGACATGTCTGGTTCAACGTTAAGAACCAAAACAGTCCTGTTCATTCAGACCGGCTTGACTGGGAGCACACCTGGGCATCGTGGTTTCCAACTTCACAGATTGAATGCAGCAATGGGAAGGGCTTGAAGAGCCCATAAATTAAGCTAAGAAGGACTTCACAATCAAAGTTGTGCTCTTTCTTTGTAATATTTGACCAGGAATGACTGACCCCTTGGACAAAGGAGAGTTCTGCTGAAAGGCTCCCAGACCCCTTCCAGAAACTGCTACAGTCTGGCAGTCAGTGTGGGCAAATGCATCACCACACATATAACAGAGCCAGGGTGATGTGGCTGGGACTGGGCTCCCCAGGGCACAGTGAGAGCCAGGTGATGTAATGGCTGCTCATTTACTTGTGTGCTGTCCTCCTGGGAGTCACAAAAAACAAATCTCATTGAAGCACTGAAATAATTTTTGCTCTGGAAAAGTTCAAGAAAGGCAGTGTAGCTTGGAATCAGTGCTAAGCTCAGGTCATGGCATGCTTTCAACAGGTCCCATCTCGCACGGCCAAGTATGGCATAGTGGAGGTGTCTGCTGTTTACAAGGAGCCACCCATTAAATCTGTAATCACCCAAGAGAATTCCCACCAGATGTGTTATCTCCACCTGATTCATACTCAAGTCATCTTTAGATTTTTGTTCCTCAACCTCTAAGTCTAAGCCATCCCTGCAGCTGAAAAGGCACAGAAATAAAACCTGTGTTTGTTGTGTATTTGCGTAGGAAGCCAGAATACAAAAAAATTTAGAGAATCAGAAGATGTTCCATTAAAATGAGATTGGGTAATTACTACTTAGTTTCTTTCTAGTAGAAGGATGAATTCCCTAATGATGGGTATTATATGTAATTAGAGAAAGCTGTTCACTTTTCAAAATTAATCATCAATCCTATTAATTATGTCTGTATTACACATCCTATTAAATTAGCACACATAATATGAGGCCTTCACACATCAAAAGAGAAGCATTATCACTGCACATTAGTACTTGACAATTTAGCTGAAAGGAACACAAATACTCGTAATGAGATGACTACTCTGAGTAGGATCACCGCTTCTCAACTCACGGCAAGGAGAAAGGATACTTACAAAGGTGAGAGCAAGATCCCTTTTGTTTTTGACCACTCAGAAAAAAAGAGTTCACTTAATGGTGGATTTGAGGTTTTTAGAGATCTGTATCTGACTAGTTAGGGGGAACACTCCCCCAGGGAGGAGACCAGCAGCCACGGAGAAGTCTGCATGGCAGCCTGGCTAAGGCAGTCTGTGACACTGAGGAGGTACACCTGGTTCTGGGAAAAGACAATCTGGGTTAAAACTGAAGAAAGTGTAAAAGAGGAATCAGTGCAAGCCCTGGTGCTCAGTGCCCACGGGAGAAACCGTCAGGTCCTGTAAGACTTGTTATGAGATGCTATGTTTCCATTTTTTTCCTTTGCAAGGTGATCTTTGGATGGCAATGAAGGCTCTACTACTGAGGCACGGCTGGTGGCTTGAGAGTGCAAGTGTAGCTCAGGCTTGGCACCCTCGCACAGGCAGCAGGCGAGTCAGGACCTGTTAGTTGGTAAGAGAACAAGCCCCAAAGCAAACTGGAGAGGCAGGTATGAACCCCCCTTTAGCAGTTGCCAAATAAACCTGACTCTGTATGGCTGGTCACTGCAGGGGGAGGTAAGAAGGGAGGAAGGCCATTCTAACAAGGCCACTTGCAAAGTACGTATGACGCAGATAGAAGGGGCTTAGTGACTGTTTCAACAACACAGAGGAATCATTAAGAATCTACATGAGGGAATAAGGTGCACAGTTTCTGCTCACGAAATGTCAAAGTTTCCCCAACCTGTTCCCCTGGAGGTGCGTTACAGGTTTCTATGATACAGGTACACGTGTGGGAAAGAAGACAGAAACAAAACTTCCACTATGCCATTATCAGCTTATATAAGCCCGGATTTAGCAAAAGTGTTTGCAATCTAACTTAAAATCATAATCACAAATCTGGACCAAATTAGTCTTTTTCCCCTAAAGGACAATGTGTAATCTACATGTTGAATTTGTTAAGCTGTTTGTACAAAACATTATTTTCTAGTGTAATATGAAAACAAATTTAGCAGCTGAATAACTTACTAATTACAAATTTACCAATTAAGTAGCAATACACACAGAAAATCTGATCTAAATAAAATGATCAGAATCTTCCAACACACGAGAGAGATCTGCCAGTAGATTTTATCCTCTGAAGACAACAGGGAATTCTTAGGCCTCCTGGGCTCTGGTTTCCCAAGTAGGATCCAAGTGCTCCTGGGTTGACTTGGGAGCTGTTTCCTTCATAACAGTTCTGATATTTAATGTGGTGATACGGGTTGTACTCTCCCCCTGTCCAGCCTGAAATAGCAGCCCAGTTAAATCTTTTATTTAGATTTCACTGAAGATGGTGCCTTTTTTTTGTATGAACTTGGTCAGCTCTCCGAAAAAGTAAGTAGCACTAAATTGGAAGTATGTCTTGATAAATTTTTGTCTCTGTTTAGATACTACAAAAATTACAGGCAATCCAGAGAAGCCAATACTAGCCACTGAAAGGTAGGGCCCCCCTGTCCTGGTTTGCTTGTGACATTCCTGGTCTATTGACTGTTATCCCATCATAGTTCTCAACAACTCCCTTTTCACTCCCCAAAGCATCATAGTTTAAAGAGTAAGTTTTATTAGATAGTCACCTTATTAAAAGGAAAAAAAATCTAGCTTTCAAATTGTAACTTTCATTACGCTTTTGCCATTGCATGAGAAAATTCAGCTGTATAAATTTCCTAAGAACAGATACTGTGTTTTAAAAATAACTTTCCATCTCTTATATACCAACATACAGAATGAAAAGCTCAGAGAAAGTGGCCCTGTCCAGTGGCCAGAAGTCACAGGACAAGGAGAGGAGCTGTCTTCCTGAACTTGAGTGATGGCCACTATTCTGCTGCTCATCTGTGGGAAGTGGCCAGAGATCATTTTCTCCCATGTACCACTCCAAATATATGCAATGACTTGTGTTTAAAAAGCACGCAGAACCTCCAACAATAAATGCACGATACGTGTAATCACCAAGGCTTGCATAACTTTTCATCTGCGACTCTGGTTACGGGCTCGCCATCAGCTGAAATGTACCATTGTCTTTCATTTGACTTTAGCAGCTTTATGGGATACAAAAGCAATAAAAGAGAGTGAGAGCCTGGGGAGCAGGGACTGTCCTTCGTTAGAATTGTGGGCTGTCTCAGCTGTGCCTTCTGGGCCCAGGAACAGCATCTGGCTTCTATCTATAGGACCAGCTATGGTATGGACGTTGGGGACTAACAATACACAGGTACTCTGCTCACAGGAAGTATCATCATAGGTCACCCCAAGGAGAGGGCTCTTCAGTTACTCAGGCCTCACTTTGTATACCTAAGCCATCAACTCAGACAACCAAGTGGTTTAAAAGAATCTGCTAAGTGTGGAAGATAGAAATAACAGGGAGACTGAATTAATATTTCATATTTAGTTAACCTCCAGGCAGCAGCAAGCTTTACCCGCTAAGCGTACGCTAGCATGAGACATGGTGTTTCTACGTGGCAGAAAAAAGACTACTGTAAGTGAACAAGGTAAAGAGTTCTGGTAACTGGAAATCCTGAACCATCAAAGGCGCCCAACAGCACGTGACATTCTCAGGGAACGTTTCTCTATTCTCAAGCGTTTCATCCTAGAAGCTCATTTTTCAAACCTTTCCCCTGCACGATGATACTACACCGGGTCTGCGTGGTGTGTCAACCAGAAAAACCAATTCCAGAAATACGAAGTGATCTAGGCAAATGGCCACTGGTAGAGACGCAGCATTTTTTTTCTTGGTCTTACCTATGCAGTAGGGACAGCACTGGCCTTTTCTCAAAACTGGTCTTTCGCAGGACACGGAAGGGCAAGACTCAGAGTAACAGCTGATGACGCTATCCATGCACACGCAGCTGGTACACACGTCAGGCTTCCAGGACTCAGCTGCCAGGAATATATCCCCTTCCTCATTTTTGCAGTAACTAGGCACGCTGTCGTTATGAGGGGAGGAAGGCCGGGGAGGCTCATCTGGAAAAACGAACGTACAGTCAGCAAGGAAGCTGCAGGCCACCAACTGTGCCACACAGGGAGCTTCACTGAGACTTACAGAAAGCACGCCCTGTCACCATGGCTTTGGGGGCCTGCCTAAAAAAACGAGTCAGTAACAAATCACGAAGTCTGATTCAGGCAGGGTTTTGAATTAAAACAAAGATCTTTCACAGTGATTCTACGAGTTGCTTCTGTAATGCCCCACTCTATCCTTCTTTAGAAAAAAAGAATGCATTTTCTTTGAGTTGGTTTCTTGGGCTGATCCAAGTCTCAAAACTTGGATCACAATGGGTGTTAAGTCAACTGGACACCTCTGTTCTAGTCTCCTTTGGGGCTAAGGGTGGCCACCCAGTCACAGCTAAGGGGACCTAATAGCTAGTGAAGGCATTCCTGGGAAAGCTTTCACTTTCCTGAAAGACCGAAGGATGCGTTCTACTTTCAATCTTCCACATTAATCCTGCCGCGAGCAGGAGCATGCTGAACACAGTTGTGACATCTCTACTGTACCTATACAACATAGGGCTTGACACTCTGCCATCATGGAGCCATTGGATTAGTGCTGATAATTATCTACCATCAGACTTCTTGCCTTGTATGTAACGTAAACCTCTTCTTACTTAAAAATCGTTGGGTTTTTCTTACTTGCAGCCGTATTAATCTTAACCAAGCAATACCCTAACAGATTTTCATTGTACCAGAATATAAATAAACACTTGTACATAACATCCAATGTTCAGGAATTCACATTAAAGCTGAAAAATGAGAAATCCAAGTTGCTCATAAGAATACAACCATGGACAGACCATGTGCAAGTCATCCTTGTCTCTGCTATTTAAAGACAGAGGCCAGAGGGTCCCCAGGTCAAGTTACAACTTGAAACAGAAAGGAACATCACTAGAAACCCAGATATCTCCTCTCTGAGCATTGGAAGCCACTGAAATTAATAAAAAATTGTAACCTCAAAGCAGAAATCTGACTGAAATATAAGAAAAGAAAGCGTTAAGTTAGTGAGGTTCTTAATTTGGACACTCGAGAGTCTAGAAACAGCCACGACAGTCCCACCTAGCAACCCCCTAAGATAACCACATTCTCTCAAGGGGTATACTATATACTATAGTCAAAGGATCACCACATGCTCCTCTCAGAATCAATTTCATGGACTGCGATTTTTAGCCGTAAAACAGAAATGGCTGAAACATGTAGTTGTCATATGATGTGACAGCTCTTAATGCCCCTTTCTCCTTCTACGCATCTCTTGGATACACCTTACAGCCAATGAGTCTGCTTTGACAAGAGAAGCTTTGAAGACCAAGGTGGTGGCTTCACTGGGGGTCCTTTTTGAGGGACAGAGGGACACCAGGGTAAGGAGACTGGCCCAGACCCTCCACTTTAACTGGCATGACTATATCTCCTATGATGAGTTCCAGGGCAACAGGCACACTCTGGTCCACAGCTCCCATTTCAGGAAGCACCCTGCACAGATCCCATCCACACAGGTAAAAGGCACTGTGATGGGATCACTTTCTCAATGACATTTCAGGGATAATTTTTTCTTTAAGAGATTGCCCAGTGCCAATTTTGGCTTTGGCTGGAAGTAAGGACAACTCACTCTTGACCACACAAGGACCTACACTCTCCGCATGGTTTCTGGGGGTTACTTTAACTTAATCTTGCAAACAACACCCAACCTTGTGTCTAAACATTTAGAACAGCTGTTCTCAACCTGTGGGTCATGGCCACAGGAACTGTATTAAAGGGCTGTGGCATTAGGAAGGTTGAGAACCACTGATTCAGAAGAAGCAGGGACAGCAGCAATGAAGCTACAAAATAACAGCAGAAATGAAAACCCTGCAATGTGGAGGCCTCTTTCTGAAGCCTGACAGACCCAGAGGGCGCGCCGACGTGCCGGCAGTGATGACGGAGGGCCAGAGCCAAGGCAGAGTCTGGGGTCTGCACACGAGCACTGGTCTTGAGCGGCCTGTTCTAATCAACCAAGACCTAGTACATTCAGGAGTTCTAGCTCCACCTCACACTCCTTCTCGGTAGGGGCTGAACCTCTGAGCCCTGTAAGGTCAACGACCGGGCCAGGGTCCTGGAGACCTCTCCTTCACTGTACCTCCTCTCATCCACTCCTGGGTTCATCACCCTGAGATCTCTGCCGATGGCACGAGGGGTGTTTGTTGCTTCAGTTTCCCGGGCTGCACCTGCTCTTAAATCCTCCCTTCAAGGCTTCCCCGTCACTGAATGTGCACTACTGGAGGGCTTGGCTCTTCTCTCCACAGGATAGGAGCTGTGTCTGTTTTCATTCACCTTAGGGTCCCCATGGCTCAGTTCAGGCTCTCCACAAACATGTGTAAAACAAATATCTAAATGGGTATAAACTTATCACCCCCAGTAAAGAATCCCCTTGGCAGGATGTAAATGGAATCACGGCTACATACCGACAGAAAAACAGCAGCCGAGTGCGGATCTGTGGAGAATAACGGAGGTGGTGACAGAGTGGGGACTAGGCTGTGCATGTCCCGGACAGAAAACACAAAGGAACTATTTCCTGTACTAGAAAAGACACTGCACCAATGGAGCTTCTCAGAGTAGCACGGCTGCTGAATTACACCAGAGAGTTTGTACTGAGATGCTGCTATGGCAGCTGTGGTCCACGATGACAGCAGTAAGTAACGTGGCTATCCCTGTAAGCTCACCTGTGCCGCCTGAGAAACACAACTGATGCACCCTCATGAAAAATTCAGACACTGTCTATGCTGGATATAATGACGGAACAACAAAGGCCGGCCAGCTGACTAGATAATCCAGTGTTTTTAAAAAAAGGAATCAAATTCCAGGATTTGTGTTTTGCTGAGAAGAATGCTCCAAGAAAATATGCTTTAAAAGTAAACGGTTATTGATTTAAATTGAAAAAATGAGAATAAGCAAGAATGAAATATAACTAGTTGTTATGTCAACTACACACCTTTATATTTCAAATTAAGTATCTTTTTAAAAAACCCTATCCTAGTACTAATTAGCAGCCACTTGTATTTAAAATCCTGTCACATTTTCATTATAACGTGTTAGTTTCATGACCATAAATTTACCCGCTAAGTAAATTTATCTGAGAATAAATTCACATTATCTGAGAAATAAGAAGAAGAAAATAATAACACTCCTCACCCCCGGGCACTGCCAGTCACTCAATACCTCTGAATCTTAAAGTATCAATCTTCACAGGTGTGAGGGGTGCAATTATGCACATTTCAAAGTGTCTTCACTGCCTTTACATTTTGCAAAGGTTTTTACTTACATTATTGTTTTATTAATAACTGCTCTTCACATTTGTTATAGACAAAGAGGACATTTCACGTTCAGAATCATGAGCCTAATTTGCTGCTACTTAGGTCTGTTCCTTGAGTTTGAGATAGAGGGTCAAGGGGGGGAAAATGGAAGAAAGAAACTGTCTCCAAAGTCATCTCAGGTGCAAGGCGTATCGACTGCATAAGTACGTGGCCGACAAAAGGGAATGGGTTTCAGAGGCAGGCTGCGGTGCCCTGATGGGGTACCAGGTTTGGCATGATGCAGCTCCCCATGACCTGCTGGCTCTGTGGAACAACATGCCCAGAGCGGTGCCTGTCCCTGCCAAGTGCATGACGCACAGCAGTGGTTACCTGGACACTGAGGGCAGCAGGAGTCCTGGGTGCGTGAGGGGTTCTGGCAGAGCAGTGGTGGGCACACCTCGGTCTCACACAGCACCCGTCCCCCGTGGCAGGTGCACTGAGTACAGGAGTCAATGTTCCATGTTTCTCCTTCCACAAAGTACTCTCCTCCAGGGGCGTGGCAAATGGACGGAGTGCTGAGCTCTGGCTTCTGCACCACGAAGTCATCTGTGGGAGGACACAAAATCAGAACAGGCAAGACATCATTCATCTGCAGTCTTTCCAACTCTCGGAGAACCTGATGCTATCTGCCTTGAGGGATAGAAAAGATGAACTGGCCAAGGAGTATTTCACTCTATTCTTATCAAGCGGATAAGGAAGAAAAGAAAGTATTTTATGTGCAGAAATAGTATAGAAGACAGCGAATGGCAAAAGAGCTAATCTCAGGATGCCAGTACTAATGAGAGAATTCAATGGGAGGATGAAATGACAGGGAGGGGACTCCCTTACATCTCGACCTTGTAAGGCAGGCGCTGTTATCCCACTGTACTTAGGAGGAAATCAAGTACTCAGAGTAAGAAAAGCAGACAAGGGATGGTGGAACCCAAGTCTACAGTAGTCTGGATCGTGGATATGCCTCTGGATTAAATAAAACTTCCAAATGATTGATGCCCTATGCAATTTATTATTTCTGGATCCTGAGTACTAGTATGCTTGTTAATACACCCTGCGACCAAGCAGGACACACCCCAGTGTAAGCCAGCAGACTGAGTGGAACACCAGCCTGCAACTTCACACCTTTATATTTCAAATTATATATCTTTTTAAAAAGTCAAATCCTAGTACTAATCAGAAGCAACTTGTGTTTAAAATTCTGTCAGATTTTCATTATAACGTGTGATAACATTGTGTATGATGGTGATATTGTCCAACACTAAACACCTGCTTGGCGATATCACCATCTAGCAAGGTAAACGCTGAGAGGCCGATGATAACGGGAGCTCTTTCCCCAGAGAGAGGAGGTTTGGATCTCTTGGTGGGATGATACCAACAGGAAGGGAATTTAACGCTGAAAACGTATGACGAGGTCCCGGGAGTCGCCTTGAAGGTGTGTTGGCGAAATGAGAATTTTGAAGACATTAACTGTATCGCTGTAATCCAGATACAACAAGCACTTCAAGCAGGTGTCAACAGTGATGAATTCTGCTGAGAAATAGTCTGGAAACATCATGGCCAGCTCATGCTTGGAGCTCAGTGGAAGTCACACCTGGGGGAGCTACACTATCTCCTGTGGAGACGCTCAGAGCTGAAATCTCCTGAGTGAACTAGCAAAGTGGTGGTCAACATGAGAGTCAAAAAGTTACCCCAGTTAAGGGCGTAACTTGTCAGCTTTATCTTACGGGACTTAGTCAAGACTGGAAGTTGGAACAAGTGGACACACAAAAAACTGGCTTTATTCAGTATGTACACACACAGGCAATGGTGCCTAACTTTTCAGTTTAAGAACAGCTGAAAGGAAGATAATTAGAATGAAAGCTGAGCTGGAACAAGATGACGACAGTGCATTTCTTATGGTTTATAGAGAAAAAAAATGTCTCAAAGAGCATCGATAAACGAACATTGGGCAAAGCCTGTCTCATTGTTTTCAAAAAGGGCTTAGAGAGGACGATTACTGGTCAGGAGAGGACGATGTGTGTGTCTGTGGGAATCCCTACTTGCTCATCCTTTACTCCACCATAACCCTTAAGGCAAAACTGAGGAAGGGCTGGAGAGATGAGGCAAAAAGGAATGGGAAAGGGAGAGGCTGAGAAAGAGAGAAAAAGATCTGAGAGGCGATAGTCACTTGGTGAATAACCTATGGGTGAGTCCAGGAGCTGCTCACTCAGCCTCGGGAGAAAAACAGCTGGCCTTGGAGTGGAAGAGGGAGAAACTATTCTTTAAGGTAAGTGTCCATGAATACAACGGCTTGGGGGTCTCTGGCAGAAGAATCCTCAGGTGGCAATCTACTGAAGATTTTTGGAAAAAAGATACCTCTACACAAGCATATATATAAATGTGGTTTTATGTATGTATATCCAAATAGTCACATACCCACAGTAATATGTCAACAACTCCATGTGTGTTTCTGTAAGAATGTACCCTAACTCTACAACAGAGAATAATATTTCTGGTCTGACAGACTTTATCTGTTCATAGTAATGTCTTTGCATTTCCACTATCTGACTCAGACTTCTTCACTGAGGCATGATTAGCAGCGACCCAAGTGCAAATTCACATTCTACACTCTCACACCTGTAACTGAGTCTTCATGGGATGATTTTTCCCTGCTCTGAAGAGTCAACACAGTTCTATCACTAAACTGCTCATTTACCTTTAGAAACAGTGGACGCCAGAAGTGAAAAATAATGTAGAAAAGGCAAGTTTTGATACAACATACATCTAGCTGAACTAGGAAAAAACAAGACAAGTCATCTCTTCTGCATTGTAATGTGGTTCTCTGCAGGAATAGGGGAGCTGTCTGTCACTCTGACACTGTAATTATTGAGGTGTGCAGAATCTCAGAGCCGAAGGGGACTTTAGGTGTTCCTCTGTCTCATCTCCAGCCACAGCAGACAAGGCCAATTTCCTCCTGCCTTGTTGCAAAAGGCCCAGGCCTCATGCTCCTGACTACACGCTCCGCACAGGCAGCTCCATCGCAGGGAGACACAAGATCAGGACTGACCAGAGAAGAAACAATCAGGACTCCAAAATCTGACAGTTAATTTAATCTTGAGAACAAATCTATGCAAGAATCAAGAGACTTCACTTCTCCCTGGCTGACATGCTGTTTCACTTTAGGCAAGAGAGTTAATCTTTCTGTGTCTGTTTTCCAAATGAAAAACTACCTATTTTTCCCAAACTCAAAAGGCCTACATAGAGGGAAAAATAACAGAATTAGAACTATGTTGACTTCTTTGGATAAAAGGCACCAGATGAGGGATTATGGCAATAATTACTGTTATTGACAACCATAATTCAGACCCCCGTGAATTACAAATCTGTTCTGATCGTCTAGTAACTTATCTTGATTACCACCATTACGATTTTAACTGTTGAGATGTGTGTGGTCACTCTAAATTTCTCCATTTGTTAAGAGTGCCACATGCCTATTAATTAAAAAAAAAAAGAGCAATAGCTACAGAGTTCAATAATTCTCTCCCTCTCACATATTACTTTATGCTTGATAAGCTTTTATGGAATAAAACTAGCACCGATCCCCTCAAATTAACCAAGACATTCAGCCTTAATACACTATTGGTAAAATGGAGAGCTCGAATTTCAGAACATAAGCCCACAAATCTTCACGAAAATGGCATGTGAAGACTGATACGATTGAGAAAACCATTCAAAAAATAAAGAGAATCATTTCCAGAGCTTTAGGATTTTCCCTGGGCTTTGGCTCATCCTTTACAGTGCTCAGCTGATTTCATGGCTGAAAAGTGTTCCAGGGCTCGTCCCCTGCGTCCTCCCCAGAGTTACAAGGCCCTGCAAGGCAGAAGTCATTTGCTGATGGGGCACACACAGGGAGCAGCCCGCTTTTACCTGCACACGATGGGCAGCACTGTCCAGGATGAATGGTGGGGTTGCCACAGGTAGGCACCGGGCAGGTGATCAGGGCACACATTTCCCGTCCATTGTGACAGTAGCATTCCCGGCACCCATCATGCCAGCTTTCCTCATTTTTATGATGATGGCCATCCATGGACAGACAAGTGCCTGACAGGACAGGTGGCCCAGCTGAAGCAGGGACCTCTGGACAGACAGAAGGCAGCTGGTAAAGAAGCAGCTACTGCATGAGAGAAACAGCCTGCAGTGTAGCGTCCCTGCGCGGACTGGACCCAGACACCAAAATCCCGTCTGCGAGGGACAGCTGGCGACGGGGGAAGTGTCTATAATATGCTCTCAATGTTAAAATAAGGGAAGAGACAGGGAAACGGCCTGCAAGTACCTTCCTGCTGGTGGGATGATCGCTGATTTCTTTTCCTCCTTCCACTCTACTTCCTCATACTTTCTACAATCAACAAGCCCTGATTTTTTTTTTTTTTAATTGAATGGTAACTATGTACATTAATGCACTTCTGGGGTACAGTGTGGGGTTTTCACACACAATCCCAAACACTTCCATCAAACTGGTTAACATAGCCTTCATGTCATTTTCTTAGTTATTGTTTTAAAACGTTCACATTCTACTCTTAGGAAGATTCATTTGTACCCTTGTAAGATAAACCTCAGTATGTTTAACATATGCAGTCTGGAAGCTTCATCCAGTAGGGAAATGCTGGGCCCTTGGGCATTAATAGATCGTTGTTCTGCAGAACAATTAAAGCAGTGACTAGATTTCTGTTTACTCTGAACCCCTAACACACCATTAAGGTGGTTAACTGTCCAATTTTGAAAAATTATGGAACTTTAAGAATTTTTTATTGCTTAATCTGTGGATCACACTGACAAGTACAACACACTGGGATGGGGTGGGGCTGGGGCCAGGGTAAGGGCCGAAATGGCAACCCGGCTGCCTGCCCAGTGGGTTTTGGGATGTCCCCCTGGGCAGATGTTTCAGGCAGCAGGACTGCCCGAATTTGTGCTTATACACAGATATAGGCTGGCATGTGTTTATTCGCCCAAAGTCTGAATTCTCATGGAAAACTTTCACCAAGAAATCCATGAGCACCCTCAGGAGCTTGGGAACGGGATCTTTATGGTATGGGTTTTATCAATCCCAGTCCTAAACAGAGGGGACTCGATGGAGGTCAAGGTAACGTGCTTTAGACTAAAAATCCCAAGATAAATGAAGAGCCATGAAGTGATTAATTTGGTCAGATGTGCTCGTCCCTCCTATGCTTCCTTCAGACTGTATTCTGAGCTTTTATTCCATTAAGAGGAAAGGAAATGGGAGTTGCATGGCAGGGCCACACAGAAAGCGACATTTGTGTCAGAGTAGGCAGCAGTCACTTAAACCCTTTCATTAACAGGCCATCCTTCTGCTCTTTGTTTTGGTGCCCTGGCTGCCTTGAGGGGAAGGGCCATGTGTTCACACTTACCTCTGCACTTGCAGATAAGACAGCCGTGACTGTCCTGCTGGAAGCCCAAGGGACAGATTTTACTGCATGGGAGCTCTGGACATTTCTTACAGCGACAGATGTCACAGCCGTGCTTATTCTTCCTGGGTAATTAAAATTTTGTCAGAGGTCAGAAAACCAAAGTGTCGAATGATGCCCAAGAGCTCAGACCAAGGTTCCATAAAGTGTTATTGCTATTAAGCAGAATGACTTGACTTCTGTTCTCAAAGACTCCTGGGGTGAAGGGTAATTAGCTCCCCATGGCCATGACCGCCACCCATCCATGACCAAGGCTGAGAACTGTCCAAGCACTTATGCACTTCTGGGATGTGGCTGTCAGAATCCCAATGACATGACTATTGGTTTAATTAGGAAGAGTGGTCTCCACAATATAAACAGACGACTGTGTGACTCCGTGAATAGGAAGGGGAAAGATGTATGTTGGTCGGTGTTGGAGTCTAGCATTAGGGGTCAAAGTCCCTTTGTTAGGGCTTCAGCCTCCTTCACAAGACCACATTCCCTAGGAAATTCCAGATGTCAGTAAAAGTTTTAATGAGATACCTACTAAAACTTATAAAAGATATGGAGGGGAAGAAGAAAGTTAAGGATCTGTAGACCTAGAAAGGCTACGTAAATCTTGATAAAGAACAAAAGCCTACAGTCAATGTCTAGCAACTAATTCATTAGGTCTAATTAGACAAGAATATCAGTTTTAAAATTCTCCATTCAAAAAGGCTAAACGGCTGAAGTGTCTACATTTTCTGCCCATCAGAAAGGTAATGTTAAGTAAATGAATATGTATTTATAAAAAACATCACAGTAGATTAAGTAGAGAATTTCTGGCTAAAAAATTCTTACCCCCCCAAAATTTCCTTATAGAGAATTTCTGGCTAAAAAATTCTTGCCACTGCCAAATTTTCTTATTTTCTCTAAAAGGGGAATGATATGTCTGTTCCCAAGGGAACTCACCACCCGCCCTCTCCTTCTCTTCACCAGCTGAAGGACTGGGGACTCGTCCTTGGCTCAGCATCTCTGGCATAGGTTTTGCCCTGGCTGGCCTCCTGGGCCTCAGAGAAGGAGAAGTTACTCTATTTATCTTCATGTTTCATAACACTAACTGCCAACAGTGATGCTCAACTAAAAAAAATCCTATTCTTTTTCATCTTGGACAAATGAAGGGGCTCTAAAAGAAGACAGCCCTGTGGGAAATTCAAGACAAGTGACAAGTGGCCAAGTGACAATTAAATTGCACTTTGCTACAAGACATGAGAACCGTACACAAGAGTCTACTTATTTACTTCACCATGAGAACAATAAATTAAATGAATTATTCACACTCATATCACATATTATGTCATTTTTAAGGTCTACCAACGCTTTGATTTGTTCGCTCATTTGTTTGTTTCCATCAATCCGTCTATCCAACCATTCCTTTTGTAGGCACTTGCTGCATGCATAAAATAACGGTTCACTCAGCAGGTGCATTCAAAGGGCACCAACGGCTGCCTCCATCCGGACACTCCCATGAGGTGTCTGGCCAAGATTTCTCTATTGGAGGCTGTCCTTAAAACACATTCTAGCTGGCACAATACTCAGTTGTTCATGGTGGTCAACTGGGTCCTTACTGAATGTGCCTTCAGTAATACAAAGTGAAATCTATACTCCTCTAAGAAATGTCTCTCCAAGATAAGGGCTGGATTTGAATGCAGCCTTGATTCTAAAATGTCTCAATACTGTAACAAGTGGTTGTACCTACTATTGTGATAATCATACGTTACATCACAAGTTAGGCTAAAAAATAACAATACTTTTTATTGGTATCATATTCGTATTTTAGGATTAAGAACAAGGATGATCTGTTTGGGAATCTTTAAAAAAAATTCCCAAATTAATTATCCAATTAAAGTTATAATTAAGACTATACCCCCCAAAGTAGATCTTTCAAAAGGAAGAATAAAAATCATGACTGAAAGAACATGAACGAGAGATGATGAATCTTAGACCCTTACAATTACTAGCACTACATAAATGTAGCCAACTGGAGAGACAGAAAGATTAAAATGGAAGAGAGAAATGGAGAGAATGATAAAGCAAGATTCTGAAAAGTGATTTTTTTAAGGGACCACATTGATATGAGGGCAGAAATAGATGCTAACATGAGATGCTAAAGAAACGAAGGTGTGAAATGTCTATTTCCCCCAGGATAAGATTCTCATGGAGTTTGAGTCAATAAAGACTATTTAAAAATATAAGTCATGGTCTTCATCTCCAAGGAAATTCATAAAATCTACAGCTACATAAAGCAGTATTATGAGATGCTGACTGGCTGCAAGGTAAGAAGACATCTAGGCATGGCAGGATGCTTGGTGTTGCAATGAGTGGCTGTTGACTGATCAAAAGAATGAGTGAAATAAATTCTCACAAACGAGTCCCTGGGACAGTTGTGAAAAGCTGCAGCAAGTGTGACCCTGGGATATTATGACAAATACCACCCCTCATGCCCTCTGGCAGCGTCTAAGGGACCTTGCTTTGGGGAGTCTCATTTAATAGGCACAAAGTTGTGTCTTGCCCATTTGCATAAAAAAGTGAAAGTAAACCTTGATTCTTATCTTTGGAGAAACAATCCTTCCCCTGCCTTCTCAATCAGTTAATGAAACAAGTATGGATATTCTGGGGCACCATGGACTCACTCACAAACACAAACAGCTAACTAAAAGGGTAACACTGTTTCACTGAGTTACACTTAAAAGTCGGTCTTCTGGATTAGGGAATACGTACAGGTAACCAAGTGGGCAATGCTTGTCACAGATCACGGGTCTGCACTTCCTGGGCCGTGGGCGGCACTGACAGATCTCACAGTTGTGGGCATCAGTCAGGAAACCAAAGGCACATTCCACGGTGCAGCCTCGCTTCAGGCCGGCGCACAGTTCCTCCCCTGGGAAGACACAAGGACAGCACGTTTCTCCCAAAGATGAACACACCAGCACACGTCGGGGCTTCTCTGGAACCTTCCCCAGATCCTCCGGGTTGCCACGGGCTTACGTTTCTCAGCCCCACCACGCCATGAGTCACAGTTAAAACCATACACCGTGCTATTTCACAGTCACCATAACATGACTCCAAGTGTGGGTGGTAATACACAAAAGGAGTCCAACTTTGAAAAAAGTGAGTTTCTGAAGCATCACTGAATCGGGTAGGCTTTGAGTGAAGAGTAGGCAGATGACTGTTAATAATCAATGACGGAAAGCATTTCTTCCTAAACTTTTATTAGTTCCCTCAAACCTCTGATAACCATTTATGTTAAAATATGGGACTTAGAAACGCTGCACATTTCATTATGTATTTTATTTCTATCACGTGCCCATGACTGGTGCAGGTTTTTAAACGTTCCCATAACATTTACTCTCATGGGTATTAGAGGGCATCACAGCATCCTTCATATTGTACACAGCCTAAGGGATTTCTTACCCTTCCTTAAAGCAAACAAGGGTATCACGCATGATAGAATGCAAAACACTCAGTGCTACAGTCAGTCCTTTTCTTCTCTGTGTGCTGACAAGTATCTAGGAATTTGGATACACTTAGTTAACTGACTAAAAAATGCATGTGCTGGAGAAACATCCTTATTAATGTTTACCTAACTGCTATTTGAAATTTTCAAACTGTCTCCTGTAAGCAGAATCCAGAGGATGTTTAACTGTCCTCTGCCAGCCAGTTACAATATTATGTTAGAAGGAAAAAGGGGTGGTGGTGGAGTAGCAATAGTGACTGGAAAAAGAAATTAAGAAATTACTGGAGCTTAACATAAATCTTCTCAAATGATTTTAAAAGGTGATCAAAGGCTTACCAGAGGGAAAAAAGGAATAAAAATATTAAGGTAAGAAAAGCATGTTTAGTGATATAAATACAGCAAGTTGAGAAGTGTCTGAATTAAAAGCAGAATTTACAAGACAATCACATTTGAAGAAGATAAGCTTATACAGTGATGGCGAAAGCATAATAACACTGTCTGAATTCTATTCTGCATGACCTGGGAAGATAGGAAACAGAGACTATGGCTGCAATGATAAATGGATTTTTATTTTATCAGGACATCCTTTAAGCATGAATATTATAATAATGCATAAGTCACTAGGAAAAACAGAACATATCTGTCGCCTCCATACACAAATCGTATAAACTAAAATTAAACCTTAACTGCAATTAATAGGTGTAATGGGTCCACATTTTACACAAATATTTTAAGATAGTAGCTTTTGCGAATCTTAGTTGGCAATACTTGCACGTTTAATTTGCTATCTTTTAAAAAGGTAAATGATTCATGCTGTGATTTTCTACTTTGTCATTATCATAAACCTTTCATTACGTGTATTTACTACAACCTCGTGGGTCTGTATTACACTACAAAGCAGCTGATTACTAATTTGCATCTTTAAAAGAGAAACGATAAATGGCTCATCTAGAATTTGTATTTGCACGACCTGAAAGGTCACCACTTTTCATCTCCCATTACTAAGGGAATGACAGAGGAAGGAAGCCTTTCATTGCCGTATTTCTCTCTCTGACACAAAGTTCCAAGTTGTGAGCTTGTCTTCCTAGTGCAAGCATTTTTAGGTCATGATACCAAGTGGATTACAATGGGAAATAGATAAATTAAAAATACACTTGCAGAACTTCTCAGAGTCAGCATCCCTAGGTTTAAATTCCTTGAAACTCTGGAGTCTGAACACCTTTGTGCCTTTATTTTTTCTGGTCCTGTTTAAAGTTTTTCCATAGACCTTGAGCTAGAATGCTCTTTGCCCTTAAAGAAAGCAGCTGGGTCTTTATTCAAATTTATGAAAACTAAATTAGGTCTTTAACTTACCTCTGCTTTGCAATGGAAGGGAATTTCAAATAAAGGCTGATATGTTTAAACAAATACACGGTACCTCCACTGGAAGGTATTCCAGCTGGGAGTGGGAAGCCCTACTGCTTCTGTGACTTGGGAACACTCTCCTGCCTGCCAGGGTCGGGCTTATAGCAATTCTGCTTCCCACCAGAGGGGGGGCTCTAGGGTTGGGCCCTGTCTCCTTCATGTATACAGTATAGAGACTATCATGGTATTTAGTGTGGAGTTCAATAAATACTTGATAAATGAACGCATCCATCAATGCCCTTGCTACTTACTCCTTCACTCTCATCAAGACTGCTATATTAACACAGATCCGATAGTGTGAATGAACTAACTCTGATTGTGTTGGAAATTTTCCCAAATACTGGTACTTGCTAAACATCTCAGAATACCATCTTCTAGTTCAGAAATAAGGAACATTGAAGATTGAAAGGTAGACCTACATCTTCTATGGATATTAATTTTGGACTATTTGTAAGAGAAATGTGTATCATCAAGGTAAACATTTAAATCATAAGCACAACAGAGATTAGAAAAACAGTATTCATAGAAGGGTGAGGGTTTGTAAGTTTACTTGGAAAGCTTTAGTACATCACTCAAGGCAACCGTGGAGAGAAAGGAGGCTTTTATGTTCCTAATTTTTCAGCATTATGACTTTACTGTGATCTAAAAATGCTTTCTAGTCCACAGGGGGAAATTACCATTGAAGAGAAAGTGATGAATAACAGCAAAGCACAGGGCCTGGACATTATGACTGGTCGATAGTGACTACATAGTAAACCTTTTTCATTCTGGTGGGGAAAAAAAAAGATGCTTGCGCCGAGGCCCAAAATGTGGCACAACTATAGGGCATACTGCTCATTCTTTATTATGAGTAAATACAACACAATGTAAACTCTGCCTGGAACACGGTGTGGATGGTGCCTGCTAAGGCCACTTCTCAGCTGTAGTGTAGCAGGTCCTTGAATAACATTGTTTTGTTCAATGTCATTCTGCTATAAGATAAGGGGGGAAAATCAATCCCTGCAAGGGCCACTGTCTTGGGGGGGTTTACAGAGTCTTCTCATGTCCGCTTGGATTTTCTCAGGTACTTCAGTCTAAATGTGCGTTGTCTAAATGATCCTGGTGTTAGTGAGTGTGGGTAAGCCCTGTGATGGGATGGGATGGAGTACCGGCCCAGGGTTGGTTCTTATCTTGCATCCTGAACTGCTGGGATAGGCTCCAGCTGTCTTTGACCCTGAACTGGAATAAGTGAGTTGTAAAGTGCATGAATAAATGAATGCATGCAAACTACTGTAAAATAAAAACAAACAAAACAAAATCCCAATAACGATACAGATGCATGACCTAACTGCTAAGGGATGAAAGCAGCGAGGGAGCCCGCCCACCAAGTTGGTTATTGTTTGTGTTTGAACTGCATGGTAGAAGGAGGTAGGTGCCTCTTACGGGTTTTGCTTTGTAAGTATTTATTCCTTGATTTAATCCACCAACCATTACACACCTGCAGTCACTCATCAATTCAACCAAAAATTGTATAATTATCTTGTTATTACTAATCTTTCTTAAAAGTAGGTACAGCTCAGATTTAATTCAACGTTTAATATTAGAGGGGTCTGGGGTCTTTATTTGGAACTTTTTTATATCCACCAGCCTCTGCGCAAACTGGTTTCATTATACGTTATTTCACTTAAAGTCACAGTTTCTAAGAGCTTACTGGTGACATTAAGTGAGGGCTTACTGAACTGTACACTCCTGGCAATTACTACCAACCTATTGTCGGTTATGGACAGCCATGAAGTTCTTGACACTATTAAAGAAAAGACATACAACACTGCAAACAAGGGTCCCAAACCTGACTCTGACTGGGATAAACCCAGAAGGACAATGGAATGGAAACAAGGAGCCTGCCTCCCAGAATGTGAGGCTGCGACCTTTTGGGGATGCTTGATTCACATACATCATTTCATAAAAAATTTCTCCTGGCCACTATTAATTTTGTATGTCTGTCTGGGTTTCTATAGACATGTGAAAGCATATTAATCTTATAACTAAAGAACATTAAAGCTGAAAGAGAAACTACCAATACTCTGGGTCACATCCACTTGATTTAAAGAGGTAGACGCTGAGATACTGAAAGATGGATGCCATTTAATTCATACAGATGTCAGTTAATACAAGTTTATATGGTAAACGGAAGTGTATTGTGTCTACTAGGTAGCAGCAAACAGTTCAGTTAAAAAGTAATGTTATTAACAGCATGTACCAATAATATGTTAGGTTGTTAGCCCTAATGGCTATAATAAGTTGAAATTTTATTGCTATTGTACTTTTACACTTTCTGCTGTCTTTCTTTTCCTTATTCTAAATGTGCCTTTGAGGAACTAAGTCAGGGATAATTTAAACTCTCTGGGTGAGATGTCCTTGAAGCATTACTTTGCTCAGCGGTGTTATAAGAATGTCGTTTGTTGTGGGTCAAAATAGCAAAGCAAAAACTGTTCAAACAAATGAATCCTTTGTCATATACCTGCCACATATTTTTGAAGGACACTTTTCTACAGGGGGCTTTGATTTCAGTCCTGATATTACCAACATATTACCAATGTGAGTGAAGGGTAAGGATCCTTTGTAATTTCCCTGTATCCCTGCAGTGCTTAGCGTGTACCAGGCACTCAGCTAGCTAGGTGGATGAAGGAGTGAACGAACAAACCACAAATCCATGAGGACAGAAAAAAAAGTTATGTGGGGCTGGCTTTCTTTTAAGAAATCTTGAAGTCAATGGAAGTTAGGTTTACTCTATAAGAAAATATTTAGGTATATAAATGGTTAGAACTACTGTATATGAAAAAGGTTCTGATGGGATGCAGAAAAAATAATGTAAGGGAGAATTTTGGACAAAATAAATACTCATCAAGGAGCTGAAATGGAAAAAAATACTGTTATACCTGAGTATAAGAAATTTTCTTTTTTTCTAAAAGCAAGAGAAAGAAAGTATTAGAGTTAAAATTAAAAAGTACAAGGAAAGTTGACTGTGTGAGTGTCCTTAG